AATAAAAAAAAAAAAAAAAAAAAAAAACGTATAATCCCACAAGTGGAGTCTGGGGAGGGTAGTGTGTATGCAAATTTTACTCCTACCTTGAAGGTAGAGAGGCTGTTTTCGATAGACTCCCGGCTCAAAGAAAGATGAAAAGAAAGCAGTAGCATCAAACAATAACAACAACAAGATAATAAGAAAAAAAAGGCGAAAGGAACAACATGTAGTAATTGAAATCTAACAATAACAGAATACAAGAGTAACACTAATACTACTGGTATGGGAAAGAAACACGCTCGACTAACTACTAGCCTTCTACCTGAATTCTCAACCTCCACACCTTCCTATCAAGGGGTCATGTCCTCGGTAAGCTAAAGCAACGCCATATCCTGCCTAATCACCTCTCCCTAATACTTCTTTGGCCTACCTCTATCTCTCTTCAGACCCACCAAGGCCAACCTCTCACACCTACCTTAAATCTCCCCAGAAGACAAATAAATAAAAATCTGGAGTTGTTACAGTAGTTAGGAATTGTTTAAAGCTAACAATAAGACTTTCAGAAGGAAAAATACATACTTCTGCATTAGCTCTGCTCGTGAAGGTAAAGGTAACATTTAACGACTCATAGTTAACATCAAACTAAAGAGATAAAAGTCTTCATTTTCAACCGACATTACTAAGTTTTTTGTTTAATAGTTAAGCAACAAGTTGCGAAAGTGTGTAGACATCAGAACCAACAAGTTGTAGCCAAGCCTGGACTGGTATTCACATTGCTAGCATAAAATTGCTCTTAAAAAAGAAATGCCAGTATTACTAATATATTATTTGAGTTAATTATCAAGGTAAATAACACCATTATCCATATTATGAAAATCTCTTGGATGTTCTGTATACAGAGAAAAGGAGAGAAAGGAAAAAAGCATGCTGGAATGACAGGACAGAGGAGAAAAGTAAAAATTGTATTGTTTTTTGTTTGATCCAAAGAGAGAACAGGAGTCTGTTCCATTTGATATTACTCTTAATATGCATTTTCTTTTCAAAATCCTAATATCTCCCATGGCATTAGGAAAATATCACGGAAAAAATAACTTTCCTTTCTCTCTATTTCAGCTTGCCTGGAGCTACTGTAGTTGTAAAAATCTAAAACGAAAGAAGATAAGCTGTTATCACATACTGTTGTTTAGCACCCACCAGTCGTTAAAATACCATCCATAAAATAACATAATTTTATTGCTTTTAGTTCTATATGTTTGGTTCAGTTTTAATCTTGCCTGCAAAGGTAATTAAAACTATAGAGGCCTACTGTAGAAGTTTCATATGGTCGGGGGCTAATTCTATAACAAAGAGAGCTCTTGTGTCCTGGGAGAAGATGTGCTTACCATGTGCTGCTGGAGGTTTTCAATTCACCAATATTAAAATCTGGAACAAAGCTGCTATTGTTAAAGTGTGTTGGGACCTAGAGCATAAGGTGGACAAACTATGGATCAAATGGATACATGCCTTTTACATTAAAGGACAATAGCTGGAATCTATCGCTATACCACAACAAGCTAGTTGGATGTTGCAGAAAATATTGGAATCTAGAGAACTGAGACAGATACAAGGCGCTACAAAAGGAAACAAAAGCTTGATTAGACATATCTATCTACAGTTGTTGGGAGATCATGCCAAAGTACCACGGAAACATCTGACGATTAACAATACAGTAAGGCAAAAGCTCAGTTCACACCATGGGTGCTATTCTTCAAAATGACTTAACTTAAAACTTATTCTTCATCTCAAATTGATTATAAGTTTCTTTGTGACTAGAGGAGAGAATAGATTATTGTCCAATCTCAAAAATGATTTTCAGGTTAAGCGACGGTTGGCCAGAGCATCCTATCCGAAAACTTAAGGCAATAAATGAACCTACGACCTATATAAAGTTATAAACCCCTTTACATGTCCTAACATATTAGATATGAGACATACTATAACTCAACAAGCACCAATAACCAATCACATTATATATGAGAATTTTATTGAATTATGCATAATATGCCAAGGTCATATTTAGTTTCAAAAAAAAGGAACAAATTTACCTGTTGAACCCAAGTCCACTTGATATGTGCAGCATTTAAAGATTGATTTTGGAGGTAAGAATGGCTCACTTTTGCCCCTTCTCCAACAACCACTTCCATAACAGAATTTGACCAGTAACATTTATCTTTATCTCCACCTACATACTCCTCAACTATACTAATCTCCCCTCCCTTCTCCACCAACACCAACACCCTCGGATTCGAAAAGGGCAAAGCTTTCGACCCCTTATCGCTACTTTCACCCGAAATATACCTCAAAACCAATGTATTCTCAACTTTACACCCTTCTGGCACATACATTAGTAATACATCAGGGGTACCAACACCGTTAAGTGACCAAAACAAATCACCCTTAAAACCAGATTCATACTCGGACACCCTTTTCAAAATAGCCTCAGAATTCACACTCAAAAGACTACCAACATAAACACCACTAGGCAATTCTTTTAACTGAGACAATTCGTTCATAATATAACCATCAAGAATTGAAATTGTAGGCAAAAGGGTATCTGAAAATACATCCAATGAAGAACTTTGAATCTTTGGAGGCAAAACTGGTTCAATTCTTGAATTTTTCAAGAATGAAGTGTCAGTAAATCTAAAAGGTTCATCTTTACGAGAAGGCCAAGGGGT